CTCCGCCTTGCCTGGCGGGCGCACGCCCCCGACCCCGACCCCGAAAAGGGCTCGCTTTCCGCACCACCCCGCAGCGCCTGGCCTGGCCCTGTCGTGTCAGCCCTGAGCCCGCCTGCTTCTTGGACCCCAAACCCGCTCGCCTATAAGGCGCACGGTCCCCTCCAGATCCCAACTCAAAAGATGCTGTGCAGTGGGATCATATAAGGAACCCCGTCTCCCAGCTTCGAGGAGTGGTGAGCCCTTCGTTTCCAGTAGTTTATAGCCTCGCTGAGGCCACCGTGACCGCTGCCCTCCAGGACCTCAGCCTTCACTCCTTCCTGCCCTAGCTGGTGTCAGGAGCCAAGTTCAGCTGTCTGAGGAGACAGCCAACTGCATTCCCTGTCCGCAGTCCCAGCCCGGAGGGGCAGGGGTTGACACGAAGGGGGAGGGCAGTTTGGACAGGCCGCTTTTCGGAAGGCCCCGTCCAGAGGGAAACTAGGTGCAGGGATGTGTTAGGAAGTGACCGCAGTCACAGAGGCACTCACGAGGCTGGCAGTGTGGACGGTCGGGGGTCAGAGGCAGCCGGCGTGTCTGGCCGGAGCTGGCGGGAGTGTGCCAGCGCCCATGCGAGCCAAGGCAGAGACCCCCGGGCTTTCCCCTGAGGACGGCGGCTGAGCAGGGGCCTCTGGTGGCCCAGAGGGTGGAGGGGCCCCATCCACCGGCAGAGACCACCGGTCAGTCCGTTCAGCACGGAGCAGAGACCTCTGCATTGTTCCCACCACTTCTCAGTACCCAGAGTGTTTCCTGGCACGCGGTGGGCGTGGCACAGTCGTGCGGGAGGGACGAAGGGCTGCTTGGGGGTCTCAGAGGGACTACTCGCAGGCTCAGGGGCCCCTCCCCGATGGGCAGCTCTATCAGACGTGACTGCAGAGTCCAGGACCTGCCGCCCAGTGCCCGACAAGCCCGTGTTTCCATCACAAGCAGCCTCTGTGGCCTGGGGCCTGTGCTCCCCAAGAAACACTGTGGCATCGGTCAGGCACCTCGGGGTCTCTGCTCTTTCACAGGCCAGAGACCCCCACTATAGGTCAGTAAGCCCATCGGGGACCCCTGTGTGGTTGGCGTGAGGTCCCGGAGGGCTCTGTCCCCAGTGCCCTGCCACGTATGGGGCAGGGCCAGGAAGAGGGGCCCGGGCCGAAGGCAATGGGCGCAGCACAGACCTTCAGGCCCTGGATGTGCCCGGCTGACGGCTGGCCGAGCAGCCCAAAGCCAGGCCTGCTGGGCAGGTGGCACTCTGGGCAGGGCACGCTGCGGTCTCTAGCTCCAGGGGCTGTGGACCAGGGGCCAGGGACTCCCGGAGGGGGAGCCGAGGTCCAGGCAGGACGGGGCTGCCGGCGAGTCGGGGCAAGAGGGGTGGAAGCCGCCGTCCTTGACCTCCATTCAGACGCCTGGTGGGTCAGTCCCTCTGGGACCCTGGGCATCTGCTCGTCTTCCCACAGGTAACTGTCGAGCACCCCCACATGCCCGGGGCGCTGGGAAATCCCAGGAGCAACCCAGGAGCCCCTCCTTCGTGGAATTCACACTCTAGGCTGGGCGTCGGTCATCACACAGGCAGCTGACACAGGACGTTGCGAGGAGACAAATGCTCGGGGGACACGGGGTGACAGGAAGGAGGTGTCGCAATGGGAGAAGCCTCATGTGACCAGACTCTACGGAGGTCAGTGAACGCAGCCTGCCCCGAGTTCAGGGGGGACAGTCAGCTGAGCAGAGCGCAGGCGAGGGGGTGGGGACGGACGAGGTCAGAGGTCAGGGGGCCCTGTCAGCATCACTGTGGCTGCCGTGCTGAGTGGGGCCTGGCTGGGAGGCCGTGCGGCCTGGACGGGCTGGGTGGAGAAGATGGCAAGAAGCTGTCAGCTTCGGGACCCACTTTTGAGGCAGGGTCAGTAGAATTTCCGGGTGGATGGGACAAATGGTGTGCAATGGAGGGGTTGGTACCGACCGGGGGTCTGTCCAATAGAGCCGCAAGGTGGCATGCTCTTGGCTGGACGGCACCGGATGCAGGAGGAGGGGCCTGGGGAGAAGGCCCGGAGCTCAGTTTTGGATGTGTCCCGCTGAGCCAATGCCCAGGGGACGCACAGTGGCTGCTGAGTGGGAGCCGTCCTTGGCATTAGGAGTCGAGGGGACAGATCCCAGCCGAGGGAGGGACGAGGGTGATGGTCGATCAACGGTATTTAAATGATGAGGTTGGACACGATCAGGGGACAGAGACCAGAAGAGCCCCTGGGAGCGTCTGCACTTTAGGCGGCTCCAGGATCGAGGGAGGACCAGCTACGGAGATGGAGCCGGAGGCGCTGGGGCAGGCGAGGCCGGGGATGAGCACCTGGAGGCCGAGCGGACAGCAGCCGGGGCAGGGCGCGGCCTCGGGGCAGCGGGGAGGGTTCCCACGCGGACCTCCGGAGGTAGCGGCTCCACTGCACGGAGGACAGCTGCAGTGACCGGGCAGGGGCGGCGTTCAGAGCACGGCTCCCGACCGCATCCCGTGGTCCAGGCCGTGGTGTCGGTGCAGGGCAGGCAAGCGGACGGCGGAGCAGGGGAGCCTGCGGTGGGCACGCCGTGCGGAGGGCCGGCCTTCGGCCACCGGAGCCCCTGGGGGCAGCGTCTCGATCTGTCGTCACCCCATGTGCGGCGCTCCGTCCCTGGTGGATTCAAGCGACGG